ATCAAGAAGTTATCATTATTATTGAGCAAAAAAATATAAATTATATAATAATAATTACATTAGAGCAAAAAAGTAAAAATCAAAAAATAATTATTATTTATGATTACAAAAATAAAAATCGGATAATAATAATTAAATGTTGATTAATATTTTTTAACTTATAATGATTACCATCCCTGATAAGGAAGTGTTACAGGAGCAATTGAAATTTTCGCCCCGATGTTTCTTAAAGAAATCCATATACGCAGCGACCGTTGGTTCAACTTGGTGATGTTTTGCTCTAGATTGCACCGTTTCTGGGCCTGGTGAATGAATTTCTCTCCTAGTTGTATGAAATATCAACAAATTTTGAGGTTGTTCGCACTTCCCTGGTTATCAGGTTATATGGTTATGTGGATATATTTTTATTCAGCTTACAACAATAAAATACACTACAGAATAATAATTTGTAACCAGATAACCTGATAACCAAGCAAGTGTCAACAACCTACCTAATTTTCTGGCACGTGGTACAACTAGTCGCTACATTAATGGCCATGTTTATGTATTTATGTATTTATTTCATTCTTTCATCAATTAGTTGAGCACATAAAGATCACAAGAACTATGTTAGTAATTTCAATTATTTTTGATTATAAGCAATAATGGCTATGTAGTAGTGCAGTTAATTTATTCTTAAAACTATCCCTACTTTCCGAGAAAAAGTCCAACTGATAACCTATCTCATTTGAGTGCCTAAGACAGCGATTGATCGGTTCATTTAAAGAGTAGTTGGTCCCACAATAAGGAATACGAAATGTATACGATGACCTTAGGTCACGCGTGGGGCAATTAAAAATAATTAACTCCAGCAGAAATTGGAAGTTAATACGGTCTGTCACTATGTCTCTTATAAACATTATGGAATAAAATTTCCTACGCGTTTCTAATGTTGGCAGCCCGAATAAGAGGCACCTACTTCTATACTCAGGCACGTTACCGTTCGAATTCAGGCGGTGAAGGGCACACTTGGTGAATCGCTTCTGAATTCTTTCGATTCTTAAGGAATATCCGGTATAGTGAGGATCCCAGATTATACTACAGTTTTCTAGATTGGATCTAACAAGGAGAAGTATACATTTTTGAGGGCAAACAGATCATGAAATTCTTTGGAATTTCTTATTTTCCTAGATTTGGCAATCATAAAGTCAATGTACTTGGAAAATCACATATTGTTGTTGAATATAACACCTAAATCCTTTTTTTTCGTGAATTTGTGTCAGTTCAGAATTACCAATGATGTATCGGTATTTAATTATGTCCAAGCGTCTGCTGAATGACATAACCTGGAATTTGGCGACGTTAAGACGTAATGAATTACTTTCACACCATTTCTGTATCTTTGATAAACCCTCCTGTAGTTTAACGCAGTCTGATATCGATGTTATGCTTCGAAAGATTTTCATATCATCTGCATACATTAGGCAAGACCAGTCTTTGATGAATTCAGGGATGTCATTAACAAAACTTAAAAATAGAAGTGGGCTTAAGTGACTGCCTTGAGGCACACATGAGGTAGCATATATAACATCTGACTTTGTGTTGTTTATTTGAGCGAACTGAGCTCTATCGGTCAGATAAGAGCTGAACTATTTGAGAAAGTTCGAATGGAGTCCCGCGTGATCTAGTTTATCGAGTAAGATACTGTGATTAACCCTGTCAAACGCTTTCGCGAAATCAGTAAATACAGCATCGCATTGGTTTTCATATTCAAGTTGTTTTAGGACAATATTTGAAAACCACGTCAAGTTTGTAGATGTGGATCTACCCTTTATAAAGCCATGCTGATATGGTGATATGTACTCTTTGACAAGAAAATATAGCTTATCGTATACGAGTTTCTCGAACAATTTGAGAATGCATGATATTTTGCAGATCGGACGGTAGTTTTGAATATCAGACTTGTTACCCGACTTTAGAATGGGGATAATAAAGGATATTTTCCATTCTAATAGTGATTTGTTAAAAATTATTGACATGGAAGAGAAAGCGCCGATGCGCAGTTCTTCAACAATATGGGAGGGAATCCATCCTCACCCGGACAGGGTCATTAGGTAATGACCGAAGGGCTTGATACACATCCTCAGCAGAAAATTTTGGGATTGTGATGCTCAACATGGCATCCGTATTTGCATTGCTTGATGTTGTGGCCACGGACGGAGAAACGTATACAGATCGAAAAAGTTTGCAAATAAATTACAAATTTGTTGAACATCAGAAGCAGATTCGCTTGAATATTGCATTATATCGGGGATTGCCGCATTTTTCTTTTTGTTCTTTATAAATTGCCAGAAACGCCTACTATCTAACTTTATTTCGTTCCCAATATTAAAAATGTATTTAATTCTGATAAAAAAACTTGTTTAAAACATCGAACTCACTTTTTAACCGCCAGTAGGATTCATTAAGGCTCTGGTCACCATTTGACTTTCGGTACCATTCATATGCTTTCGTTTTCTTGTTATTGAAGTTTGAAACCCTGGGAATGAACCAAACTGTTTTAGAGGTCTTTCTTGCAGGTTTCCTTGGAACAAACTTATCAACTGCTAATATTAACTTATCTCTTAAGAGGAAATAATCCTGTGACAGTTGGGGCATGTTCAAAGTGGACTCCCAATCTACAGGTTCCAGTAAATGCATAATCAGATCGAACTTAGCTTCGAAAAATTTATAGTCATCAATATAACTAGTAGTGGGCTTAATGTAATTAATAACGTTAAAGCTTACACACAATGCCTTGTGGTGTATTGAGTTAGGTAGAGGGGACGAAGATAACGTCTCAATATCACATTTCAATTGATCATCTACAAATACCAGGTCAAGTAACCGATTAATATCATTATGGACGTTATTAATTTGGTTGAGATTAAACTCCGCGAATGTGTCTAGAACCTCGCATTCACTTGCACTCGAAGCTCATCATAACTCCATTTAACATTAGGCAGGTTGAAGTCTCCAACAACAATAAAATTTGCAATATCACTGCGATTACTAAGAATTCCATTACAATTATTTATATGCGCTTTATATAAGTCTACTGGACTTAGCGGTGGGATATAACTGTTGTACAGACTTATTCTATTTTGCGTTTATTTTGTTCAATAAATAACCCAAAAAGGATAACTCAGCCGAAATATGTATGTGCTTTAGCTGAATTTTATAGATGTAAGCCGAAACTATGAAATTGTAAAAGTTAGATTTTACAATGCGACTGCTCGCAAAATGGCAATGTTGGTGGGATTGCGGATCGATCTGAACCAACGGTCGCAACGTTTAAGGCTTGCATTATGTCAAAATCATGTGTTTGTTGTAATTCATTCTGTCATTTACTACCATTATGCGTAGGTCAATTCATGAAATCATTTCATGCGTTTGAATAGAAACTGAGTGCAGGAACACCATTTCATTATTTAAGTTTTACGCGAAATGGAGTTTATGCACTGAGTTGTAACTGAGATCCATGAAATGGTTTCGTGAATTGGACTACGCATTAACGCGATAATTGTACGTATAAATTATAAGGTGATTTTATGCTTTTATACTCTTGCTAGCGCATAAATATATGAATTCATAATAAGAATATATGATTTCGCCTTGGAAGATAGAAAGCGAGAAAGAAACTAGTACTTTTTAGAAAAAAAAACCGACTTCAACTCCCATATAAAATATATATATATATATATATATATCTCATGAACCGCTGATCGGATCTTAACCAGATTAGTATGGGACCACCTCTGAGACACTACCTTTCCGATGCAAAAAGAATTATCGAAATCGGTTGACGTCGTCCAAAGTTATGCGGTAACATACATAAAGAAAAAAAAAAAAATATTCCGACGAACTGATAACCTCCTCCTTTTTTGGAAGTCGGTTAAAAATGCCGAACAAAGGAATTTGTCTTCCTTCAACTTAAATAAATGAATTTTGCAAACAAAAGTGCGTACGTTACTTAGTGCCTTGGTTATATTGCACGGGGAGAATCGTAACAAATTGCGGCAAATTCGTAATGATCCATTGATTGCATTATGAACATTTGCATTTATTTGTTAAACACACAATAGATAATTATGTGATAGTTCACTCCATTCAGTTACTTCCATTACAACCCGGTCCTAAGGATGCTAGAAGGGCGCATTAGTATAAGGTGGTGTTACCGGAATATGAATAAATAAATTATATATCAGAAACAGAATAAAATGAAACGAAATTATTGTTTAATTTGTAACCAAACCTATGTATGCAACTTAATCGCCTAATGGTTTGCCGAGCCGTAATCATATGTTTACACATCAAATTTCGTGAGTACCTGGTACCAGACCTGTTAAATTTCGAGTACAATTCCTACTCAATACAATTACTTCATAAAGTATTTGTAATGAATTAGTAATCGTTTTTCAGCTGAAATGCAATTACAACTCGAGTACAAGTACTTGTAATTGAATAGTACTTGGAATTACCATCAATTCCCAAAAGTAATTGAAAGGAGTTGAAAGTAGTTGAAAAAGTAGTTGAAGTACTTTTTCCAATTACTTTCAATTACTTTCAAGTACTTGATACAATTTTTATTTATTTCAAATATTTTTGTATTTTTATATATTTAATTTCATTTTACATACATATATAAATATATTTCAATTATTCTGCTTATTTCATAAATAAATAGATAATTTAATTTTTTAATCTAGTTATTTACTTCACACTCTGTTATCGATTGTGAACGATTTTTCTACAGCTGATCAATATTGTTTTTGCACAAAGCACATACGATAAAAGAGTCTACGTGGTCTTACAAGTGCAAGTGAATTTGTTGTGCGTTTTGTTAATTATCCGCGTTGCTTTATTTGTATAATATTATTAATTTTGGTTATTAATTGCAGTATTAATATATAAATATTGGTAAGTACATAATTTGATTTTATATATAAGAGAATATAATTCGTTTTTTGGCGGGAGTTATACACATGTGTGTGTACATGTGTTTTGTTATTGTAATTACTAATAACACAACATGTGTTGTGTGAATGAATTTCGTCATACAGGCAAGAAAATAATTTTACGTGCACATATTTTTTGTGGTTATGTTTGTTTTTAATGATCATATGTAAAGTACATACATATATTCAACTGCAAGAGATGTGCATATGTAAAGCATATATATTCATACTAAAAAACATTAGTTAAATTGACCGTTTTCTTCTCCATATAGTAAAATGAGTAATATTTTTGATGAGGGTGACTTTTCGGCTGATGACAACGTTGCGGATCCCGACTTTATAGCAGAAAAGCCATCGCGTAAGCGAAGATTGCATCTGGACGAACCTTCTCCATCCAAAGTGGCACGGGTCAACGCCATACCGTCCAGCAACATTTTTTGCTCCGAATTTTATACGGATGTGAAACAAGTTTGTTCTTATGTTTGTGAAGTGCTGTATTGTGTGTTGCGTTTATGTATTTTTAATAACAAAATTATTTTTTAGTAGAGGTAATAACAATGTTGTGTTCAATAATTTAAGTAGAATCAAAGTTCACAAATTAATTAGATAAAACTATTATTCAAGGTTGAAATTTCTGGCAAAGTCTCAGTGGAAGCGAAGTGTTCTGCCTCTGGTTGTGGACGTATCATAAAGGGGGCCGGGGGAGTTACCTCCAATTTCATCAAACATTTGAGACGAAGACATAGCGAATTATTTGAGAAGTATAAGGTTGTGAAGGTAAATATTATACAGAAATTAAATTTATAAAGCAATATTAAATAACAATCAATATTTCAGACTGTCAAATCAGATATTCAAACCGCACAACAGAAGTTTGAAAAAAAACTTCTTTTCGCTATTGTTGATTGCAGTCTGCCTGTTTCACTTTTTGAACGTCGCTCTTTCCGAGAGTCATATGAAATGACTGGACTTAAAGTTCCCAGCAGGCAGACAGCCATGATGATATTGGAGGACCAATATAATAGCATGTTGGAGAAAATACGAGCTGATATCTCATCAGCTAAGTATTTTTGTACAACGGCCGACATATGGTCGGGTAAAATAAATTAAAATATGTTTTCATACCTCAGGGAAAGAAGTATATGCGCATTATTGTTTTACGCGATTTCTTTTCTCTCAAAAAGCATATTGAAATTGAGAAGCTTTGTTTTTTGTTATCTTTTATTACTACTATTGAAATAAATTACATTGATAAGTTTCAATTCATTTGCAATAGTTTTAAATATATACTGGCTATGTAAGTAGAAACATTTTTGCATAAAATGGTTTTTCTAGATGGCGCCAAGGTCGAGTTATTTCGAAAACCCGTATTTATGGTCCGATTTGGTTCGAATTTGGCGTATGAAACATAATAAATAATAGATTTCCAAAAAAATTACCCTGAATTGGCGCTGAAGTCAAAATATAAAGTATATTCGACATAAAATGCATGTTTATTTGCATTAAAAATTCAATGAAAAGCAATATTAACAAAAATATAACGATGGAAATTTATGTCACGTGACGCCACTTCACGTGACGTTTCACACTTGGGGTTGCAAAAGAAAATTGAAACAAGTTGCATTAATTCAAAAAACTCTAAATACAACTAGAATTACTCCAAATCATATTAAAACAAGTTTGATGAAAATAGCCATCCAAAATTCGCAGAGTTTTGCGATTTTGTAAGAAAAGAAAAAATCAACTTCATTTTTTGTCACGTAACGTACCTCTCTTTAATTGCGTATATTTAAGGACCATGCGTTTCGATTGTTTTCGTTTTTCGGTCAAATATAGAGCTAATTAGGTGCTATACAAGAGCCCAAAAAAAATAAAAGAAAACACATGTTTTTCCTTGTTTGTATCTCATTGAAATCGTACGACTGTCACGTGCGCCACCATGGAAATGCCCATATGTAAAATGAAATTAAATAAATAAAAATACAAAAATATTAGAAATATATAAAAATGGTATCAAGTACTTGAAAGTAATTGGAAAAAGCACTTCAACTACTTTTTCAACTACTTTCAACTCCTTTCAATTACTTTTGGTAATTGAGGGTAATTCCAAGTACTATTCAATTACAAGTACTTGTACTCGAGTAGTAATTGATAAAAGGTAATTGTACTTGAAAATAATGGAATACATTACATTAAACCCAAAGCATTTAAATTACTACTCATTACAATTAGTAATCATTACTTAACAGGTCTGCCTGGTACTCACAACCTTTTTAAGAAGTTTGACTTCTATCATTTGTACGGTGCTACACACGCCTTTTTTTGCATCTTTATTGTTCTATTTGGCACGTTTTGGCACTTTTATATCCTTAATATGGCCCTTCATAGCAAAGGATAGGTGGCAGCCCTGGTTACACATCAATAATTTACAGTCATCTAAAGTAAAGCTTCTGTTGCTTTATGGGCGCTATTTTATTTTAACTTATCAGTTCTGTGCATGTTACGAACTCTATTTAGGTTTTATTTTAATCTAAATTGTTTTATTTATCTTATTTTGTTTTGTTTTTGGTGGTTGAAATGGGGCACCGAAATTGCGCATATGGAAACTGTGCATTTAGACATTATTTCGGTTTCAACCGAAACTGTGCATGTATGCTTTATTTCGGTTTT